ATGAGCCTCGAGCCACACTCTCAAAACTAAAGAGGATTTATTTGAAGTTTATTCTATGTCCGGCACTAACCTGGGCGTAACCAACTCTGAGACACGTAATTCACTGTCACCTTTGATCCTGCTTTCCCCCCCACCCCTCTGGGTGTATCATCCAATGAAACACATCCATAGCCAAGAGTCATCAATCATGCTCTCCAATTAGATTTTTTTCGAGGCAGAAATTTCAACCATCCAATCAGTCTCTGAAGAAAATATGAATGGAGTGTACTTTCGATTTCACACTGTTGCCTGCTCTTTGAAACTTCCCCCTTCTTTCTGTTGTCATCTATAAAACGTGTATACAAAATGTTTTATGAGTTGACAATTTCTCAAAGTCAAAGAAGCTGAGAAAAATATTATCTGGGGGAGAAAAGGGGCGCAACTGCTTCATCTATCAGAATTTGTTTGAAATGATCTTCTCCCTTGAAAGAATTACTAAAGGAAATTTTCATCAAATGGAATAAAATTTGTCTGCCTGGCATTAATAATTTTACCTAAATAAGCTTTCATTTCTTTCCCATTGTGTCACTTCAGTGATTTTTAAAAAGGTTTTTTGCAATCCTGATTGTCTCCCTAAACCTCTTGTAGCTTGGACTGAAAATGGATCTTTCTCTCTCCCCCCCCCCCATCTATCACCTATACCTATCCATCAATCATCTATCTTCTACTATATTACCTGCCTGCCTGCCTGCCTGCCCGTCCTGTCCCGTCCCATCCTGTCCGTCCATCCATCCATTTTCTAGCTTTAAGGAAGACGGGTTGGGATTCTGATATGGTATCTTCCAAAGACCGCATAAGCTCTGAGTGGAAACACAGAAAATAATTGAGAATGAGAATATTGGAAAAGATCTGGGAGATTTTGCATCCCAACCACTTCTTCCATAGGGACCCTACAAAGCTTCTTTTGCTTAAATAATATTTGGGGTGGTGTAGAGAGAAAGAGGCTGTACTAGGAATAGTAAGATTCAGTTTCTACTCCCTCTTCTGTCATGAATACTCTCATGGCAATTTTGGCTCAGTTCCTCTCTCTTGGCTCAGCCTACTTCATGGTTATTTTGGGGAAAATGAAGATATGCTATGTATACTGCTTTGAGTGGCTTTATTTGCAATTCCAATAAAGATCAATAAGTAAATTTGGAGGTGTATCCATAAACATATTAGGCATGGAAGCTAGATCCACACCTGAAGCTCCAATTAAACTGATTTATTGTTACTTGGTGCCCATGCACCGGAATTTTCTCAATTAATGGGATGCTTATCTAACTCCCCCTGCTTGGAGTTAGATATGCATCAATAGAATTCAAGGGAGGTTGGATATACTTCCTTTGTGGTCATATAAGATTCTAGGCTGATCCCTCTCTTGACTCCACCCACAGGTTCTGCCACTCCTTCCCCTACATAATTTGAGTGTCCATGGGCAGTGAATTGAGATACAATTGGAGCTTTTACTGAACACCTCTGTCCTTAAAGCTAGTTAGGATTTGCTCCAGCTGCACATAGATTTCACCCAACATACCCTTTTCCATCTTTTTCACAGTCATTTGTGAAGGTCAACCTGGGTTACTTTATTTCCTGATATTTCCTTAGATCAAAAATAGCACTCTTTAGAAAATATCCTACAATTGGCCATATTCACACATCAAGCTTACCCATATCTTGGGTTTGCACTGTAGCAGAACTATCAACTAACCCAAGTAGGCTCAATTTTGTTTATTTGTTTATTCATTTATTTATTTGTTCATTTGCCTACCTACCTATCTACAACCTACCTACTTACTTACTTATTTACTGATTTATATATATATTTATTTCTTAACCAACCACCTTCCTCAGAGCATTTGTACCACACAGTAAGCCACAAGCAGAAATAAACCAAGGTTATAACTAACTAAGCGTAGCAACTTAAGCACAGGAAGCCTGTAAGCTTTGATTGAGCTGATGTGTGAAGTGAAGGCAGGCATAGACTAAGACTAATATCTCATTAAAGCATGGAAGCATGTGTGTGAAATGAAACCATTTGGCCTTCAGCAACATGAAGACAAAGAATTCCATTTATGAAAACAAAGAAGGTTCCATTCTCCATTAACTCTGGTGGAAGCTCTTTACTTCCTGTAGAACAAAATCCCCTGTGAGAAGCTGATAACAAAGCAATTCTGGTGGCTTACAGATAACCATGACATCATCCTTTTCAATTCTAGCTCTGGGGAGTTTTCAAGGAGAATGACATCATTCAAAATGGTAGTCCCTGATCTTAGAGGCAAAGAGTCTCAGGAACCTGGAAGCCTCAGGGAAGCTCCGAAACAGAAGAAGCCCTGACCATCTTGCATCTCCAGAAACACAATGAAGCCCAGCTATGCCCTGAGGGATAGAAAGCTGCAATCCAGATGTACCTGCTGCCATTGAAGCAAGGTTTGAAACCTAGGTGAAGATCATGCTGATAGACGCTTCATTGTGCTTCACATTTTATCAGCCCTTCCAACAGAGGCAAGAATTTTTACTCTCTCCCCAAATCTCTCTGGGCAGATCTTCCTTCCAGCCTTGCCATATAACGTTGCAAAGATGTAAAATTGATTGGACCCATATGGAAAGCCTTCCTTCTGAGAAGACTACATCAATTGCTGGCTTTCTCTCTGGCAGGCCAATTACAACAGCCACAGCTCCCTCCCTCCCTCCCTCCCTCCGAGCTCACAAGAGTTTGGAGCCCCCCTCCCTCAAAAGACACCCCTTCCCCCAGGGACAAACCAAAGTGACACCGCCTCTGAGCTTGCACAGAGGCACTTTGGAGTCACACTGAACACATCCATTCCAGACAAAGGGACACACCCTGCAGGCTGCCTCTCAGATGAACATTTAAAACAAGTGCCTCCGATTAAAAGATTTATAAAGATTTTTAAAAAATCTTTAAGCTAAAGGTACATAAGGCTCAGCAAGTCTTTTTTTTTTTTTTTACAAAAAAGAAGAAATAAAGGTATTTTTTTCTTCATTGTTACTGCAGTAAAGAATAGAATTCTGCTTTTTCTTTAGGGTTAAAAAAGCACATTCTAGCACAAATTTCCAAAGCAGTGATGACATCAGCATTATATTTAATTCCCGCCACTGTTTTGGCTAATCTTGCAAGCTTTAAGACAATGCATTTAGCTTTGTTGCCTCTCCATACTGCACCATCGGCTGTCTCAGAGCCCTTCAGCTGATGGGTGATGGATATTCAGGCAAAAAGTGCATAAATCTAGCAGATTGCATTCACACACATTGAAGTATTTCTGCAGGATACAGGCAAAATGTACATGCCTTTATCCAGACACACCCACTGCAAAATATTTGCTCAAAGGTTTCATGCTCACCAAGTATTGGAGGAACAGCTGTTTTACCACATAATGCATAGAAAGGATGCTTTCTAAGGCTTTATAAAGGGTGTTACCAATGTGGGCTTGAGGACATTAGCAGATTTAAGTCTGAAAGCAGACTTCCAATCTCCTGCAGTCTTCATATTCAGATACATTGCAAAAAGTGTAATAGACCTAATCTAGAAGGTCAGGTAATGCAGTCTGTCTAGAAACTCACATCCTGCAAAGATATTGTAGGCAGGATCATTGAGATACACAGATGTTCTGGAGTTAGGGAGATAAGTCTCCTAAATGTAATTCATGGGTCCACAGATGGGTACCCATATCTCCTCCTTAGGCAAGTCAACTAATGGTCCACAGAGACTCCTCTCTGCAAGCCCATTGGAATGCCTGTCACTACAGAGAGGCAAAAAATGTACAAGACATGACATCAGCCCACCCGCCTAAATGAGCAGGCATCCCCCACTTCCAGTGTAAGTTATGGAAACATGTGCACAAACACACCCACCATCTGGACTGAGATCATTCAATTACATGTCCAGCAATGTATTTTAAGCTTCAGGGGAGGAAATCCATATTTAAAACAGGGTGGATTAGAACTTCTAATCTTCTAACAAGGCTTTATTTCTTCCTCATGCTGCAGGGATTGCAATTAGGTGGCAGGACCACTGAGAAATGTGCAAGAGATCCTCATGTATTTAAAGGATTTCAGAGGGGTTGAGAAAATTCTCTAAGAAAATCACAACCAGAATAAACCATTATAAAACTAGACTAGAGCCTTTCCAATGGGCAAGTTGACAACCCCTATAATCCCCAGTCATCTTGCCCGTGCTGTCTTGAGATTTATGGGAGTTATAATCCAAGACAGCAGAAAAGCAGGTTTGAGAAGGCTGGGCTGGACAGCCACAGTGTACAATCTGAGGGGTGAGGATCACACTTGATTCTTATGTGCAATTAAGACTAAAAGACTGAATTATACATGGGTGGCATGAATCTTTCCCAGGATTTAATAGTTTCCACAAATGATCACATTACAAATTAAAATTTCGTGACAACTTTTAGATGACTGCAGTGGGTCACATCAAAATTTCCAGATACTTACAGTAAATCTAGAATAAGGAGGTCTCAATGATACAAAGCAGTGGTTCTCAATCTTGGCAACTTGAAGATGGGTGGACTTCAATTCCCAGAATTCCCCAGCCAGCATGTTGGTCACCTTCTATTCTTTCTTTCCAGCTTTCCCATCATTAGAGCCTTTCCCAGAGATTGCCAAATGTTGCTTACTCTAAAATTAAATATCAAGTTGGATATTCTCAGCAACTTTAAGAGGCATAAACTTTAACTCCAGCATGCTGGCTGGGGAATTCTGGGAGTTGAGGTCCACACCTCTTCAAGTTGCCATGGTTGAGGAACACTGATGTAGAGTATTATATGCATCCATCCAAGGATTAAATATAAATTTCTGACATACTTTTGGACAAACGCCCCAAAGATAAATTATTTTCCACCACTGAAATTCATAGTTTTAATTCTGCCACCCAGAACCATGATCAAAGTGTCATCTTCCATGGGCTTTCCACCCTTCCTGGAACTACTCTACAATGCTGCCCTTCTTACCTTCTTCCAGTTCATCCATGCTGCCAATCTTTCTGCTGCCATCAATGGTGTAAATATAGCGAACTCCCTGAGGCAGGTTAATGTTATCAGACAGAGAACGGGTCAGGTCAGCAAGCAAGGCATCAAAGCTTCGGAAGCGGTCACTGGAGACAGCATAAACAATCCCCTTGAAATAACGGTCCCCATTGCGGTAGAAACGCACTTTCTTCGCCTTCTTCTCATTGCTCAGCGCTTGTAAGGTCCTCGTGCGGTAGAAACTACAGTGGGCACTGTGAGTGGGACTTGGCAGGCCATTCATTCGGGAGCCACGCATGTTTCTGGACGCCTTATCTCTTTCGTCAAAGTGTCCAAAATCAAGTTCCATTGCTTGGTGACCCCTAAAGATGTGAAGCTGAGGCAGAAGAAGGAGGAAAAGAATGAAAGCAAAGGAGAAACAACAATAACAATAACAATAACAATAACAATAACAATAACAATAACAATAATAATAATAATAATAATAATAATAATAATAATAATAATAATAAGTGCCAAAAACAACTGGAGCACCACTTGAACTCCATTGGCATTGACAAATTCACCATCAGTCAATTGCAAATGGTGGCTTTACTGGGAAAAGCTTCCATACTATGACGATATCTGTAACCATCTAACATCTACATCTGCCTATCCCAGTACTTGGTAAGAACTCGATAGGTAAACAAAAATGCCAAACCCAGTCTGAATATCTGGCTGACTGTGTGATTATGGTTATCATAATAACCACCTTACTCAGAACCTCCTATATACTCAGATGTTACCTTAACAGCTCTTAGGTTCTTGTTACATTTTTACCAGTCCCAGACTGTGAATCAAATTGAAGATTAAATCAACAACAACAGTAATAATGCAAAAATTACTGGGAACACCAAATCAACAACATTCTTTCAAATGAACAGGTAAAGATCTTGTGGGATTTTTGAATCCAAACAGACAGATATCTGGCCCACAACACACCTGACATCACTATTGTGGAAAAGAAAAAAAAGTCTGGTTCATTGATATTGCAATACCAGGTGATGCACGAATTGAGGAGAAGCTACTAGAAAAAATAACGAAATATCGAGATCTGCAAGTTGAAGTTGAGCAATTGTGGAGGAAGAAATCAATGATTGTACCAATAGTAACAGGAGCCCTTGGAGCAATACCTAAAGGGTTGCCTAGATACATAGAAATTTTGAACTTATCAGTCCTGGATATCCTGACTTTGCAAAAAACTATCTTACTCAGAACTGCCTAAATACTCAGACGCTACCTTAACAGCTTTTAGGTTCTTGTTTTTTTTCTCCAGTCCCAAACTGTGAATCAATGGAAGATTTCAACTTTAATAATTAATAATTAATGATGATGATGATGATGTATGTAGTGAGACAACACAGCTTTTCGAGAAAGAAAGCTGATGATACAGAACTTGGATTTGGGTCCCTTTAAAAAAGGGAAGAAATGGAACACCTGGGTTTTCCTTCTCTTGGAAGGCTACCAGAAAAGATTTTTCCATATGTGCATGAGTGAACTGTTGGGAGCATTAGGGAGGGAAGGAGCCTTCTATGCAATACAATCAATCAAGACTGATTATTTCTAAGAATTATTTTCATCCCACCTCCTCACCTTTATTCTGAAATATTCAGAATAACTCTCTTTCTAAAGCAGCTTATAAGCAAAAAGAGAACCAAAAAAATCTAGGAAAGAATATTTCACTGAGCCTCATGGACTCTCTATGGAAATCAGGTCTGTGTATTGGGAGCAACCCTTTTATGGACACTGTTGGAAGACAGATCTGTGAACAGCTGTAAGGAGTGAGCAGAAGTTCACTGCAGTTTAGATGGGGTTGTAGACTGGGCGGGGGGGGGGGGCAAGAAAGGAAAGAAAGAAGATCCACCTTCCATGGATGGATGGAAACATGGAAGTGACAATGCCCAAGAGTTACACGGCTGACAAACCAAAGAATCAATCCATCATCTGTAACGTATTCAACGTGGCCAAGGGTGACTGGAGTGAGCAAGCTAGGGAGCCCCTTTTAAAAGGGTGGAAATCATCAGTAAGTCTCTTTTCTGGTCATACAACAACAATGCCATTTTCTTTGTGAGCAGCTGGTTTCAGAAGCTGCCCCCCCCACCTTGGCTCACACATCCCTCCTAAGCCATCAATCACTTTCGAGGGTTATTCTCAACTGCCCAGGAGATAACATGGAAGGGTGGAAGGAGTTAATATGGAAGCAGCGAGGAAGTTAATGTGGAAGAACAGTATTGTTTCCACTTGGAATGCAATTCGAAGGTCAGTTAATCAGGAAGGCTTTTGACATTCCCCTTTCCCCCTCCTTCTTGCTGGTAAAATGAAGTCATTTTTAATTGCCGAAGGCACCTCCTAGCTGTATTCCTGTCACACCCCTGCAAGTGGCACCTTTCATTGTTCAGAGGCAGAGCAGGGAATGAGAGGCTTAGCTAAATTTGTGCAGTGGAAGAGTGGTGGAAATGACAGAAAGACCAAGATCCTAGGAATCTCCTCCTTTTGCAGTTTAAAACTTGGCATGCAAACCCAAGCTCTGACCATAATGGAAAAAAAGAAGGATGCGAGCTCTGGTTATCATTAGCCTTCACACAATTAGCATGCAGGTCACATCTCTACCACAGAAACAGGGTGAAACCTGCTCTTTGCAATCAGGTACAAATCTTGAACATCAGCCACTTCCTATCAGTTCTGGTCAGGTCCCAACCCATCATTCATTTGCTACAGAGTGACAATGACTGGTCCCTGACCTTCGTATTGTCACCCTTGAGCTGCAAAAGGAGTTTTTCCAGCCTCTTTTCTTTCCGTCAAATTGCAGACTCCGCTCCTGCCTGCTCCTTTCTACTGAAGTCTGCATGTACAATGGAACTGCACCAAAAGCCAACTTTTCCAAAAACGGAAAGACGAAATCAAATGCTGAGTGGTGGGCTAAGAAGACACCTCTGGTTTCAAAGGTTCAGCCTGTTCTTCTTTTGGCACCTGACATCTGTTACTCGCCCTGCTTGGAAAAATCAGGCTTTACTTACCGTTTTTTCAGCTCACAGGGTGGAGATGCTGAGAGAAAGAAACCCAGCTACACTCTGCCTTTGTTGTCTGCACTCCAAGCAAGAAATTCCTGCCAGTTTGGCCAAGATTCCTGCTAGGTCCTAGTGCCTTTTGCATACATGGGTTTGCACACCCGTGCACACAGAGAGACATGCAGACCCCTTCTGAAATATGAAGTGCCTTGGCTGGGCTTCACACTCAGGACCAATTTCCTGGTAAAGATTCCCCTTCCCTCCTTTTGAAAGAGAAAAGGTAGGCTGATGTGTGATTTCAATTTTCACATCAAGCCACGAAGAGTGGGACGAGCCATATTTTAGGAGACACTGTCTGTCCTTTTCCAAGGAAAATCTCCCATTGTCTACAGTTCCTCTAATGCTCTTCCCAGCCCAGCTAAAAACAGGCATGGTTTGATTTATGCCACGGCATTAGACTTCGGCACACACAGTACAAAAGTGAGGGAGTACTACCTAGAATCTAGATGCTTATAAAATCTCAGCTGCCTTGTGGCCTCAAGAGGGTGAGGCTTTAGGCAAGCAAGGTTGTTAAATCAACATATTCTTCTTATGATAATACACCCCATGTTTCTCCAAACCTCAGCATCAAAGGGTAAGGCATTCTGATAGGCTTAACCAGGACCTTGATTCACAAGAAATGATCAGGGGCAGCCACCTGGGTAGAGATACACCTATTCTTAATTTAGAATGATGTCATTCTGACTTTGATTCCAGATGCCCTAAACTACATCCGTAGGGAAAAGGAGATTTGAGATTACTCTGCTCTTATACACTCCTTAGTTCTTTATCATGGAATCCATTTGTTTTTAGATTAGAGGCGAGCAAATCCGAAGTCTCTATTGACCCAGAAAAGCCACATTTTATGGCCAAGATCTCTTCTGACAAAGCCACCCAATGTGCTTTCCTGCCTTTTCATCTGTAGGAAATGATCAGGCTGAGTCCAAGGAAAGAATCAAACACATCATCAATTTTGAGTCCCTTCGCATTCGTAAGAGATCTAATTCCAGCCCTCCTAGAATTCCATTGACTGATTAATGTCAAGTGCAGGAAATCAGAAGTCCAAGCAGTTCAGATGAATATATAGCTTTATTGTACGCTAAAGTTCTCTAAAGAATCTGACCTACAATGCAAATTGGCAATAGATAAGAATCAATGGAATTTGAGGCGGGCTGGACTTAGAACTCTTGTGGTTACAAAGGGACTCGACACTGAAGACATATTTGACCTCTTCCTAGGGCTCAGCCTGGTTATCTCCTACATCTTCTTCTTCTTCATCTTCATTGTCTCTGTTGAACTCTTGCTCCCCACTTCTTTAACCAAAGTTGCCCTACCCCACTTGGGGCAACTTGTTAAGACTATGTGAAACAAGTCTTCTTTGTCCTTTTTTTCTTTTTTTTTTTTTGCTGTGGGTTTTCATTCAAACTGATGGGAGGATAGACAATCATAGAGTTGGAAGGGACCTTCAAGATCTTCTAGTCCAACCCTCTACTCAAGACAGGAGACCCTATATCATTCCAGACAAATGGCTGTCCAGTGTCTTCTTGAAAACCTTCAGTGATGAACCGAGGAGGCAAGTTGTTCCACTGATTAATTGTTCTCACTGTGAAGAAATTTGTCCATTGTTTCAAGTTGGATCTCCCTATGACAAGCTTCCATCCACTGTGTCTTGTCTTATCTTTCCCTCTGGTGCCAAAAGATGATAAGTTATAATCATCAAGTCAGGGATAAATATGGGAGCAAATGAGCCAGTTTTGTCTTAGTGGTTAAGGCTCCAGGCTAGAAACTTAGGATGCTGTGAGTTCTCAGAAATGAAAGCCAGCTGGATGACTTTTGGCCAATCACCAGGAGACTGTGAGTTCTAGTCCTGCCTTAGCCATGAAACCCAGCTAGGTGATTTTTGGCCAATGACTCTCTCTCAGCTCAACCCCCTCACATGTTTGTTGTTGTGGGGAAAATACAAGAAAGAAGTATTATGTATGTTCATTGCTTTAAATTATTTATAAAGTAATAAAGGTGGGATAAAAATATAATAATATGGTCATAATTTCAACCTTTTTAAAAAAACAATCCACTGTAGTAATTTCACAATGTAATCATCATTCTGGCAGAATTATAAACAGAGCAATCAGAAATCACTATTATCAGATTAGTTCATAAAGGCAGAATCTTTCCATTAGTACAGGTAGTCCTCAAGTTAGAATCACAATTGAGCTCAAATGTCTGTTGTTGACTGTGACATTTGTTAAGTGAGTTTTGCCCCATTTTACCACCTTTCTTGCCACAATTG